TAATTTTTAATCTGAGATCTTGAATATTATTAACTTTCCTGGCAGTATTAAGAGGAATAATTTCATAATTCGATAGTGAAAAGAACTGCAAATTTATCGTAAGTAAATAGAGCTGAATTATTTTTTGCAAAGATCTGAGAAAGAGAGACTGGGGGTATGCAGACTGCATGTGAAAACCTACAAAAATCTGATATATTTAATGCATGACAGACCACCTTGCCTTGAGTTCTGCCTTCAGAGTTCCCACAGTGAGGAAATAAATGTGCAGGCAGACCCTCTCTCTCTGCCTGCAGCTCTGTGTCCTGGAACAATGTGACTGCATTAGTCTCAGAGGTGTTTTGTTTTGGTTTCATATTGGTTTTAGTCTTAACAGTTACAAGGGAAAAAAAAATCTTGAAATCAAATGTAGCTTGTGGTAAGAGCACTGATCTCCATCTGCGGAGATGTGACAGAAGATGGGAATGTAGCAAAGAGGACTGCATGCAGGTCACCCACGTCATGCTGGCAAACTCCCCTTGGTTTGGGAGAAGTACTAGGGGATGTCCTGCCTGTGTCCATAGGGCTTTGGGCCTGAAAAGGAGCACACCCACGGAGTTGCCACTCCCCCCACTCGCTGCACTTGGGTTCACATCATGGAGCACCATCAAGTGCACAAGCTGGCTTCCTCTTAAATGAAACTGAGCCAGAAGACGTCCTCCAGTGTCACACCTCAAGCACTCTGGCTGTAAGCAGGTATTCAGACAGAAACCACTTTGTGCAGTCCAATGGTGAGCATGAGTGGGCTACTCAGCAGCCCGGGAAGTTTCATACCCAAAAAGGACCTACGCCATGCAGAGGTAGGTGCCCCCTCATGGCCTGCTGGATCAGCCTAGAGCTAGGACAAAGTAAATCACCCCTGACATGTGTACAGGGTGGATGCCAGGTCTGCAGCATCAAGGGGTTTGTTCTACAGACCTGCTCCTATTTGTCCACAGCATTTGCTCATGTGAACACAACTTCCGATACCACCAGCACCCCCCAGTTGGCAGGTGCCAATTCCCTGGCCCCAGCTTTTCCCTCTCCAAGAAACTAGCAGAACAGATATGGGGGACCCAGCTCTGCAGAAGACCAGAGGGACACAGAATGAGACAAACTAAGTTTTAACAAATGAGACAAACCGGGATTACACAAAATAGACACCCGGTAGCTGATGCTACCAGTGATAAAGACAGAGCAGGAAACAAACCCTGAAAGTAGGTCTATTACAACAAACTCCAGCAGGTTTTAATCTGCTTTGCCTAGATTTTAACAGTTGAGAATGATCTTCCTGAAGGTCCTCCCTGGCTGCAGGATTACTAATTGTTTGTGTAAAGCTAAGCAGGTGCATAAATGTTTTCCTGGCTCAAGCTAAAAGGCTTTTCCTAGGCTGGCACTCCGAGAAATGGAGAAAAAGCCCTGACAACTGTACAGTCACCTACCCACACCAGTCACAGGGTGACCTTCTCAATATATTAAAATAATTTGACCAGTCTGGTTTACATGTTCACTAAAGAAAGAACGGGTATTATAAAGCTGTCTTCAGGAGTTGGATATCTAGTTCCTTTAAAATTAATGGCAGCTGCACCCTTAAAATGTGCCGGTAGTTTAAAATACTAAGTGGAGCAATGAGCACAAGTGGAAGACTGTAATACAGATCATTAAAACTCCTTTTAATTTACATATTCAACCTAAGCCTTCCTGTGTTTCACTTGGTCCTATTCCTTCTAGTTCTGTTTCCTGGATCTAAGACTGTTTCCTCTCTTGCTGTGATGCTTGAACCCCCTCGCATGACAATCACCTTGCTTGCCCAACACACATTTACCTCTTTTTAATCTTAACAAATCAATCTCTTCAGACGCTTTTTCACTCTATCAGCCTCCCCTGAACTCATTCCAGTGTGTCAACAGCTTTCTGGGTTTGACGCACCCAAATTACACACTGCCTTTCTCACCACTGCCTAATTAACAATTCACAGCCAATACAAGAGTCCCTTTCTCTTAGTGATTTCTAATATTTTGTTTCATTTCCTAAATGCATCTGTATTAGTAACAATAGCCTTCTCACATCTTGCTGACATATGCTACTCTATAGAGCAGTGGTCTTCCAGGGGGAGTGCAAGGCAATCCATTGGGGTGCAGGAAGAAAATATTTTTGTAATGTTAATAAATAAAATTAAATTTAAAAATACTTTTAAAATAGTATTTTTGTCTTTATCTCATCCTTTTATATTTCTATTAGTGTGTATGTTTTATAATGTACATAATATGTTATTGCAGTAGGAAATGTGTATAATTTACAAATAAAGAGATGTGCGTGTTCAAAAATTTTTTACTGATATGAGTGAACAATTAAAAAAAGTTTGGAGACCACTGCTATAGAAGTAAGGGGTGGTAGCATCCATATATTTTAAGTTCTTAGCTATTTGTGTCAGAAAATCCACCCTGTTGCCACTGTGCATGCTACAGCGCATACCATACCTGCTGTTGAACTCACCTTGCACAGGGTCAGGCCTTGATGACTGACATCGGGACTGCCTGCACAAGCTGCTGCCATCATTCCCCATGGTTAATGGTCTAACCAAAGAAAAGTGAGGATGTGTGGGAGAGGTCGGACTTTGGCACCAGGCACTCTGATTAGGGAAAAGGGATGCAGAGATCTTTTTTTCCCTGTAAACAGAGATTCAATTAATTTTACTATGTGTATTTCACACACTTTGCACATGCATGTACGTGCACAGGATATAAAAAAAACGTATATTTTATCTATTACTGCATTATTTATTGTACTGCATTAGCATATTTATTATTGTATTTTGCACAGATTTACTGTGTTTACTGCACACATACATTAAATTTATGTGATATACCTAACAAACAGCACACATACTTGACACATTCTGCATTTAGTTATAGGTGGAAGAACTACAACTTCTATATTGTTTGACATACCACATTATAATTTACCATTTGCCTTTGGTTATAATTCTGTCAAACTTGAATTCTGCACTGAATTTTTACATAATTTCTCCCTGCATCTAATTCAGTTTCATTGGAGAGTTTGAGCAAGAGTGATTTAGCCATTTTTAAGAAGAAAGCTTGCAAAGATCAGCCAGTTTAACCTATGATGAAAACTGTTCATCTTCTGCACAGTCACAGTCTGGAGAAGAAATTTAGAGAAGAGCAATTACCCCAAACATGAGAAGGGCTACCCACTTTTCTTTGTGAAAATGTATCCAAATTGGCCAATCCTTTATTGTTGAAATACATGTTTCTGTCATGAACCTGGCTCAAAAGTCCCCAGAACCAATATTCTGGAGGTGACTTAGAAAAAAACAACAATATTCCATTCCTTATTCAAAATGGTGAATGGCTCAGCTCAAGGGTTCCTTGACTGAGACATGGTGCTCAAACTAAACTGCCTGCAGCTAGACCAATGAACCACATTTTTTCATAATGCTGACAATTTTAAGTTTGATACAGAGGCTAGAAAACAGTTCTGAAGCAATTTAGAAAGTCCTTAGCCCAGTTCAAAGCGCAATGGGCTGAGAGAAGACTGAGTTCAGGCCCATCCATCTCAAGACAAATGTAGATAGTTCTGCAAACATCAGCATCTTTGGCTAAAAGCTTTCCAAGTTGTGATCTCCAAATGGTGCCATCCAAACACCCGAGGCTCAAAGGGTAATATGTAATAATAAAGTCACATTTTAAGAAGAATTTTACTTGGATTTTACTTTCCACTTAATCTTGACTGACAGTCATAGAATCGTAGAATGGTTTGGGTTGGAAGGGACCTTAAAGATCATGTAGTTCCAACCCCCTGCCACGGGCAGGGGCAC